ACAAGTCTTTCGTCCGAGGAACCACAATTTTACAATTTTCCGGTTCTAGGTTTACGATGAACGTACTACAAAAATACGATTACGTTAATTACTAATACTGTAAAATACCATAAACGTTAAAGACAGCCCACCGGTAATGAAAATGTTATGCAAGCAAATTTAATTAACTTTCCTGCAATATTTTCAATTTACAGAATATTATTTTGAGAATCACAATTTAATGTTAATGTCACACACGCCTAAAAGAAGTAATCTTGAGCACTACGGGACGAAAAAATCCATTTTTGGGACAGTTGCGCACATTTCATAATCTTGAAGTAAACTTTTTGTAACATGTGGTCTATGTCGCCATCTTTTACTAACAGGATGGACGTAAAGGAAAAATGAAAAAAATCCTGTAACCTGTTAGTAATCTTTTCTTACAAAAAATTGTTTATCAAGATCACAGAAACGGAACGTGAAAATGATTTGCGAACTGATACATTACAAAGTAATCCTTGCTCATTACTTTCTTGACACCTCCTTATACATAAAGTTAGAATGTCGGATCAGAGCACATCTTTAGGGTTGCTAGTGAACCCGCTTAGCATAATCAATCAAGGATCTGAAAATGTTTCACGTGCCGTAAAAATTTCACCCCGAAAAGTGGGTAAATGCAAAGTGTGGTAGAATTCTTGTTATAAAAATTCGTAATTTGCAAACGACTAGGGGTTGAATTTTTATGAGCACGTCTTTACGGTTGCTAATGAACCCTTTTATCATACTCAATCAAGGACCTAAAAATGTTTCACGCGCCCTTAAAATTTCACCCCTTCAAGTTGATAACTGCAAAGTTTAATATAATTTAATATAAAAATTCGTAATTTGCAAGCGACTCGGGGTTGAATTTTTATTAGCACGTTTTTAGGGTTGCCAACGAACTCTTTTATCATACTCAATCAAGGATCTAAAAATGTTTTACGCGCCCTTAAAAATTCACCCTGAAAGATGGAAAACTGCAAAGTGTTCTTAATATAAAAATCCCCAATTTGCAAGCGACTAGGGTTTGAATTTTATGAACACGTCTTTAGGGTTGCTAGTGAACCGTTTTATAATACTCAATCAAGGGCCTAAAAATGTTTCACGCACCCTTACCCCGAAGGATGGATAACTGCAAAGTGTGGTAGAATTCTTAATAAAAAAATTCGTAATTTGCAACCTAATATGGGTAGAATTTTTATGAGCACGTCTTTAGGGTTGCTAGTGAACCCTTTTATCATACTCAGTCAAGAACCTAAAAATGTGTCACGCACCGTTAAAATTTCACCCCTTAAATTGCATAACTGCAAAGTGTGGGCAGAATTTTTAATATAAAAATTCGTAATTTGCAAAGGACTAGGAGTTGCATTTTAATGAGCACGTCTTTAGGGTTGCTAATGAACCCT